AATCTCATCACAAATTGGCATAAAAAAAAATGTCATAATCAAACTATAAATTTTTACTATAACAATCACAAATTTTTTGCAAGATCACCTACAAAATTTAAACATCCAATAATGTTTGGACATGCATGTTTTTAGTAATATTATTAGTAAGATTTTAAGTAGATGTATTGCTTTTTGATTTTTTTAATTTTTGATTAAATCATGAGATAAAAATAATATATTGAGAAATAAATATTTAGTTAAAAAAATATGTAAAAAAATAATATAAAAAACATTGTTTGATTTTTTTATGTGAGTTAATTTTTTGACTATTTTTAATGAGTGGAAATTAAAAGTTTTATCAAAATTTTTATCAAATATCTCACATGGGTGTGAGACTAACATGAGACTCGTATGGTATGGGTTACACACCCATGTGAGATATTGTATTTAGGCTTTGTTTGAGAAATTGGTTGGAACTAATTTAAGGGCAAAGCACCAATAAATTCCAAGATGTGATCTTGTGAACTGTTTAGTCCTTTTTTTTTTTTTTTTTTATGAACCCAAAGGTTCCATTAAAGTGAAAATTACATAATATGGTAGTCACTTACATGTTTGGGTTTAATTTCTTAGGGATAAAAGTGAGTTTTTAAAAATGTAAAATCACATATTTGGGAAATTTACACTATAGAACTTTTGGATTTTCCCTCAATCTAAAACAAATCTCACATTACGAACAAAAGCCTAACACTCAAATGTAACACTCCAATAACGTAACACTTCAATGTAACACTAAAAAATTCTTTAATGTACTTTTCTCAAACGTAACAATGTAATACAGAAAAAAAAATCTTTGGTGTACTTTTTCCAAATGTAACGCTCCAATGTATAAAAAAAATAAATAAATAAAATTCCATAATGTACTTTTCCCAAACGTAATACTCTAATCAGTGTAATTTCAAACGTAACACTCCAATGTAACATATTTTAATGTAACACACAAAAACACTAAAAAAACTCCTTAGTGTACTTTTTTCAAACGTAACATTCACAGTTTGAAATTATACATTTCCTCAAAACTTACTAATGAATATTTGTACTCATTTTGGAATGGCTTGAAGAATCTCACATTCCTTTTGTATTTTTATTTTTATTTTTATTTTTAAGTATTACATTAGAGTGTTACGTTTAGAAAAAAATGCACTAAGAAGTTTTTTGTTGGGTGTTACATTAGAGCGTTACGTTTGGAAAAAATACACCAAAGAGTTTTTTTTTGTTACATTAAAGTGTTGCACGAAGAATTTTTTTTGAAGTATTACATTTGGAAAAAGTACACTAAGGAGTTTTTTTGTATATTACATTAGAATGTTACACTAAGGAGTTTTTGTATGTCTCATTAAAGTGTTATACTAGGGAGTTTTTTTAGAGTATTATATTACAGTGTTACATTTGGGACAAATACACTAAGAAGTTTTTTTTGTATGTTACACTAAGGAGTGTTTGTATGTGTTACATTAGAGTGTTACACTAAGAATTTTTTTTGGAGTGTTATATTAGAGTGTTAAATTTGGAAAATATACATTAAAGAGTTTTTTTGTGTGTTATATTAGAGTGTTACAATAAGAATTTTTTTTAGAGCGTTATATTGGAGTGTTATGTTTAGAAAAAGTACAGTAAATAGTTTTTTTATTTTTATGTATTACATTAGAGTATTAGACTAAGTTTTTTTTTTTAGTGTTACATTGAAATGTTACGTTTGAGTGTTACAGTTTAAAATTATACATTTAGCCAAAACTTACGAAGTAGTTTTTGTATTCCTTTTGAAATGTTTGAAAAATCTCACATTATTTTGGAATGTTTGAATAATCACATATTTTAAGTCATTTTTGTATTTCTTTTGAAATTTTTTCTAAATAAAAAAGATTTTTATATAAAAATTCATCACAAATTTGATTCCTATATATTGTGTATCTTACATTTCTAGCATAAAAGAAAAAAAAAAGGGAAGGAACATAATATAAATAAGGGGATTTTTTTTAGGTCCCTGGTTTTAAGATTTTATAGCATAAAGGACACCAAATATTTTCATAATGTCTAAAGTCCCTTAACATCGATTCAGAGAAAATTCGATCTAGTGAATTTCTCTGGACAAATTTTTTCTGAACTTCACATAGAAATTCTGGTTTACACAGAATTTCTCTGGACAAATTTTCTTTAGACTTCACAAAGAAATTCTGGTTCATAAAGAAATTTTGGTTCACAGAGAATTTCTCTGATCGAATTTTCTCTGAACTTCACAGAGAATTTCTCTAGTTGAATTTGTGTGGCTTTGTGTGGCTCTATCCATAGAAAATTGTGTAAAGAAAATTTGTGTGGCTTTGTGTGGCTCTATCTAGAGAAAATTGTGTTAGAGAAAATTTGTGTGGCTTTGTGTGACTCTATCCAAAGAAAATTGTGTAGAGAAAATTTGTGTGGCTTTGTGTGGCTCTATTCAGAGAAAATTATATTAGAGAAAATTTGTGTGGTTTTATGTGGCTTTATCTAGAGAAAATTGTGTAAAGAAAATTTGTGTGGCTTTGTGTGGCTTTATCTGGAGAAAATTGTGTTAAGAAAATTTGTGTGGCTTTGTGGCTCTATCCAGAGAATATTATGTTAGAGAAAATTTGTATGGGTTTGTGTGGCTCTATCTAGAGAAAATTGTGTAAAGAAAATTTGTGTGGTTTTATTCAGAGAAAATTATGTTAGAGAAAATTTGTGTGACTCTATTAAGAGAAAATTGTGTAGAGAAATTTTGTGTGGCTTTATGTGGCTCTATCTAGAGAAAATTGTGTAGAAAAAATTTGTGTGGCTTTGTGTGGTTCTATCCAGAGAAAATTGTGTAGAAAAAACTTGTCTGACTTTGTGTGACTCTATCCGGAGAAAATTTGTGTGCCTTTAGGATGTGCATTGGGATCTATTGACCAATTTTTTTGGATTTACTCACAATTTTCTTTGTGCGTTGACTCAATCAGAGAAAATTGATTAAAAAGCTAACGTAATTTTCTTTCGTTTGCTCACCTATACCTTTACTTTCACATTAACCCAATCTCCTTCTGAATAGACATTGACAGCATCAAAATCCTTACACATCAAAAGATCCCAATGCCTATCCCAATTGATGAAAAACTCAGTATCCTCAAAATATTTCACTCGATGCACATCCCCAATCGGCGTGAACAAGAAATCACCAACACCCAAATCATAATTCTCTTTCTTGCTTAAAATCCACACCCTCTTGCTACCCTTTATCACCACCAAATCATGCGCAAAAGTGTGGTGATGAGCCGGCTCTACACTCCCAGCCTTGAACCTCATTATCACCGAGGTTGGTGTCTCTCTCAATATCTTCATCGATTGCACAGGTGTCTGATTAGGTTGTTGGTGAACTCTTGGGTCTTAGTCAGGCAACAGATTGCACAGGTGTCTGATTAGGTTGTTGGGAAATTGGGTCCAATTTTGGACATTTCGGGGATTGAGTTGTCGAGAAAGGAGTCGATTTCAGGGGGGCTAGGGTTTGGAATTGGAGGTAGGGCAGGGAGAGAGAATGAGAGAGTGGGTGTGATATATGAGTATGGGTGAGGGACCTTAGGCTATAAAAAAAAATATTGTGGACCTCTCCCATTACTAAAAGTTGGTGAGGAAAGTTAGACCAATTTTCCCTATAAATATAGGTACAATCGTAAATCTAATTTTAAAATAATATATTAAATCTACTTTTCCAAAATCAATGGGGCTAATTAGTTTATAAAAAAAATCTTAAGACTAAATGGATCACCATTTCTTAAGATGAGATTTATAGGTAAATTTTTCCTAATTTAACCCATTAAAAGACAAAAAAGATTAAAAAGTTAATAAGACAAAATGTCACATTCAAACTATAAATATTTTTTTTTGTCTCACAAAATTACAAAAAAAATCAAAATTTCTTCCTAAACGAAATATTTTTAATCAGATTAAAATAGTCAAAATGCTAAGAAAAAAGGGGTAAATTACACTAACAACCCCCCTGAGATTTCTGTTTAATATAGATTCCTCTCACATTTGAAAAATTACACTATCCTCCTTAAGGTTTGCAATCTCATTACAAATTGATTATTGGATTGCTGATGTTATGCTCTAAAATTTTCTAAATGTCCATCTTCCCATTTTTCCTATAATTTCTTATTCATATTATCATGACCACATTTTATAACATTCCAACATTAAATTCTACCTGAACATATTCTTATTGAGTAATGATATACAAACAAATTTTATATAGAATTTTCAAACACGATGATATAACTTAATGGTGACATTTCACTTTAAAACAAAACATCCATAAACATGATTTATATTTACAACAATATCACTATCACAACATTTTATGATATTTTTTGTATAAATTTTTATATATGAATATAATTTTTCATTTTTATTTCCACCATTACATCTAGATTAGATAAATTTAATCTAGATATATTTAAAAAGTATAAAATTTGTGCAAAATTAAAAAAAAAAAATCATTGGATACAACAAAATAAGATAATGTATTGAATTTATATATATATATATATATATATATTTGTATTTGATGAATTTAAAAAAAAATCACAAAATATTATACTTCTTAAGTATATCTAGATTATATGTATTTAAAAAATAAAAAATTACTTAAAAAAATAAAAAATTCAGTAAAAATAAAAAAACTAAAGAAAATGATGATTATTTCCCTTGAAATGACATGTACAAAATATCTGCATTCTTTTATTGTTTCATATATATATAAAGACTAAGGAAGAAATATATTATTTTAATTTGATAAGAAGTAAATATAATTTTTCAAATATGAGAAAAGATCTGCATTAAACAAAATATATCATGAGATGTCAATGTAATTTAACCAAAAACTAATTTTTGAAATCTCTACTATTTTTCATTTTAATTAGTAATTATTTTTTTTAAAATTTTGTTGGGACTAAAAAAGTCTCTAATGAAATGTACCCCTTGAACCTGTGGCCGAACAGCGAACAAGATACCCACGAGATCCCAGAGACGCAACGACAACAAACGCCCACGAAATTGAAACAAAAGAATGGCCGAGGAAGGAAAATCAGCACCACCAGATGCCCAACTCTTTGGCCTCCTTTCCAATCTCCTCCAGCAGGTGACCTCTAATATATATATATATATGCATTGTTGTATTGTTGGTGCATATAGAAATATTGAAGTGGCAAAGCATGTTGATTGAAGATGTTCAGATTAGTTTCTGAATATTTCATGAGATCTCTGATCTGGGTATTTGAATTTGATAGATTACACATTTTGGGTTTTCACTTTTCTGTATAATGAATTGCCCCATTCACTTTTTAGGGTAGAATCTGTTTCTGAAGGTTCGTTTATTATTATTATTTTTTTAAACCCAAATTATTGCTGCAGTTGAATTCTTGGTGTACTGAGCGATGTATTGTGATCAATTGACAACCTTTTGAGCTAAATACCATTCGGCAGAGTTTACCCTGTGATGCAAATTGATTGGTTATCTTTTGGATGATGGGATTGTGCACTTCCAATGCTTACTAGAAAGTATTACGCTCGGTTGGTTAGGGTAATTATTGGCTTGGTGATGCTTATCTTTCATGGATGTGGAATGATTTGCTGTTGTATTCGTGTTTATTGTTTTTTGTTTGCATTTCCTCATAATTAATAGCAAGCAATATTTAGAGACCAGAAGGGGGGGGAAAAAAAAAAGAAGAGAAAGGAACACATAACTTGCCAAAGTTTTGTGACCAAAATGTTATTTGGCATGGATTCAGTTGTTTACCTTATGGGTTTTTACACCGATAAAAGCTCTAGTATCAAGCTTGAGATTGCTAGTTCAAGTTTGTGGATATTGTCTTCATGGATATAAAGCTAGATATTATGTTTATACCTAATCTATTCTTTCCAATAGCTCATATTCACGGGGTCAATATGATTTATTTATGTGAAATCATTGTTGGGTCTTGTGGACCCTCATAAGTCCCTTGGTCCAATGGGGGGTTTGAGGGGCCTCCTTCTAAGGGAAGAATATTTTTGTGTACTTCGGTAATTTCTTGTTGCTTCTACATTGCCCTAATTCTACATTGCCCTATTTTCTGATCATGGTGAAAATCGTAGCAGCCGTGAAATTAGCGCTATTCCGGGGTGAACCATGTAAATCCTTGTATTCTTGTGTGTGTGTGATTTCTTCGATTCATTTTGTCTTTCTTGTTTGTTATTTCGTGTCTCACCGATCTTGGTTAGGAAGAGTTAATTCCTAACAACCATTTGGGGACAATTAAGCAATTGAGATGTGTATGTTCCTCCTATAGTTTGTTAAGATTTTAAAAGAGTTATATGTGAAGGGTTGAATGCTAGGGGTCTTATCCCGAAAAAAAAAAAGAAAAAAGAATTGAATTTGATGGGTGATGTTGTCATGCAAGATGTTGAACTCATCAAGAGTGCAATGAAATGAGACGTAGAAATGGTTGCTCATGCATCTATGAGATTGGGAGAGAACTAATTCAATTTGTAAGGGTGTGCAGTTTGGATGGTGAGCGAGAATGGATTGATGAAAGTGCACTTGTTGGAACTTGGAAGGATGGCCAAGTAATTGCTCGATATATATGCATGCTAAATAAGCTTTTTATTTGATGGCTCATATAATTTGATAATAATTAGTCCAATCAAACATGAATCTGAAGCAAATTGGCCTTGAGTTCCCATGAGAATCATTTTCGGCCATGATTTGGTTCAATTTTATTATTCTAAATTTTGGTTGCCAGATTTAGAGATATTTTTTTTTAAAAGAAAAAATACAATCTATCTTGCATTCATGTTTTAGAGATATTTTCTGGAGTGTTATCTTGTGAAATGATAAGTTTTTAAGTGAGTGGTCTCATGATGTTTCACTGAGGATGTTTCTCTTGGAGAAGGCCATTGAAACCCTAGTGAAGTAGCAAAGGACATAGAGGCATTGGTCTAGGAATTGTTATTTTGCAGATGAGGTATCTTGCTGTCCCAATCCCACGTTATGTCTTTTCCTGAAATAACACAGCCCATACAGCAGGTAATTTATAATGAGTTTGAAAAATGGTTTCAGATGGGGCCTTTCAGGTACTAATCAGTAAGTTGAATAAGGCCTAGGAACTTCTGGATATTGATCTTAGGAATCTATTTGTAAGGAAAGGAGTATATGCACTCAGTTCCACCTAAAAGAAGTGTTTTCATTAGAATTGCCAATATGGCCTGATTTTGATGATTGACAAAATGTTTAATAAGGGTAGATTGCTAGCTTACCTTTCAGCTCTTGTTCTACACTTATATAGGAGGCTATGAAGCACGAACACCTCTCCGAGGGCCGCGTTTTAGTGTCGAACACGTGTCGGACACGGACACACGTTGGACACGCGGTGGACACATGTCCGACACGCTAAAGAGAGTGTCACTTTTTTTTGTTGGTTTTTTTGCAGGTGGACACGTTTGGACACGTTCGGGACACTCGGGGTCAAAAATATAATTTTTGAAACTTCAAGTGAGGGTCAATTTGTAAAAAACAAAAATTAAACCAATGAAATCAATTTTTAAACCTAGATTTCGAACAGAGAGAAGAGAAGAGACTGAGAGAAAAGATTGTTAGTGGTCGCTAGTCGGTCGTCGCTGGTCAGTGCTTGCTCGTTAATCTCTGCTCGCTGCTCGTTGCTTTCGTTGTATGTTGCTCGATTCTCTTCTTCTTCTTTCGATCTTCTTCTTCTATCTTCTTCTTCTTTGCTCTCTCTCTTAGTCGCTCTCTCTCTTTCTTCTGTTCTCTCCTCTCTTTCAATTTTTTATTTATTTATTTATTTTTTTTATGTTGATTCTAACCCCCCCTCTTCTATTTTATTTTTTATTTTTGGTCTTTATTTTTTTTTTGTGTGGCTTTTTTCTCAGTCAGTCAGTCTTATTTAAATATATATATATATATATATATATATTTGGATTTAAGTGTAGTTTTTAATAGGTGGACTTAATGTCCAACAAGTTCTATGATAATTAATGGCATTTTTCATCAAACATTATTAAAAAACATCACTAATTGTTAATTTTCAGTGATAGTTTGAAAATTTTATTACAAAAAAATGTCATTAATTATAAGTTTTTGTGACAATTTAGCTTACCTTTTAGCTCTTGTTCTACACCTATATAGGAGGCTATGAAGCACGGACACCTCTCCGAGGGCCGCGTTTTAGTGTCAAACACGTGTCGGACACGGACACACGTTGGACACGCGGTGGACACATGTCCGACACGCTAAAGAGAGTGTCACTTTTTTTTTTTGGTTTTTTTGCAGGTGGACACATTTGGACACGTTCGGGACACTCGGGGTCAAAAATATAATTTTTAAAACTTCAAGTGAGGGTCAATTTGTAAAAAACAAAAATTAAACCAATGAAATCAATTGCTGACCTAGATTTCGAACAGAGAGAAGAGAAGAGACTGAGAGAAAAGATTGTTAGTGGTCGCTAGTCGGTCGTCGCTGGTCAGTGCTTGCTCGTTAATCTCTGCTCGCTGCTCGTTGCTTTCGTTGTATGTTGCTCGATTCTCTTCTTCTTCTTTCGATCTTCTTTTTCTTTGCTCTCTCTCTTAGTCGCTCTCTCTCTTTCTTCTGTTCTCTCCTCTCTTCCAATTTTTTATTTATTTATTTATTTATTTATTTTATGTTGATTCTACCCCCCCTCTTCTATTTTATTTTTTGTTTTTGGTCTTTATTTTTTTTTTTTGTGTGGCTTTTTTCTCAGTCAGTCAGTCTTATTTAAATATATATATATATATATATTTATATATATTTGCTGATTAGTTTATAAGAACAAATTTTTTTTGTTAATTTTAATGATATGTGTTTATTAATTTTATAATTTTATGGCATATAATAAATAAATCTAATTATATATATTGTACATGTTCCCAGCGTGTCGTGTCTCATATTTTTGGAAATTTGCACGTCCGAGTGTCTGTGCTGTGGCCGTGTCTGTGCTTCATAGATAGTAGGCAAAGGATCCACTTTTGTTGCATGGATGGTAGGGAAATTGTTGTTTCCTTCACTCTTTGGCGTGACAATATGACATGGGTGATGCTGAGGCCTCTTTCAGAGGCTATCAAGGCTTGGCAGGGCTGTTTGAAGAGTGCGTATACTTGGCCTCTGTTTAAGTATATGTAGAAGGAAGATTGTGCTCTTAAATCTATGAAGCGGAATATAATGTATCCTCTTTTCCTATGCTGCACACTGCATCCTTGATTTATTGCCTAGTCATCGTATATTTACCTTCTATCCAAAGTACACCTCCCACCCATCCACCCATGCAACAAACACCAAATTACACGCCCAATGTATTATGGAGAAAAGCTATTATTTGGGAGACCACAAATATAGGAGATAATATCATTTCCATTTATATGTTGTGGTTGATGGTTTGCTTTTTTGATTGATTTCCTTTTCCATTGCTTTTGAGTGTATATTCTATGTTGGCATTTGATCTCTGAAAAGATCTTGCTATCCACGCTCCTCTTAGTTATGGAGATAAAAAGTTGGAAAGAAAAGAAACTCTAAGCTTTATGATTATTTTGTTTTTGCAATGGCAGTTGTGTGCAAGAGTATGTTCTTTCCCTTATTGCCCTTGCACCCAAATGTAACATTGAGTCTTTCAAATTTAAAAATTAAATTATTTATGTAGTTACTCTTTATACTTTCAATCTTAAATGTTATTTATTTATCAGAAAAAAAAAATCTCAAATGTTATTGCATGCAATCTTTGGTGGATAGATTTATCTTGTTGGGGAGAACGAATGGAGGATGGGCTTGGCTTGGAAGCTGGTGTGACTTTTGAGCTAAAATTTGAGTCATGTGTGCTGATTGTGTGAGGTTGAAAATGATGCTCAATCACGTGCAACCTAACGCATCCCTCTCTTGAGGAAGTGTAGCCTAGGCTTGAGTTTTTCTCTCTTGAGGGAGTGTTGCCCTTTGGGTGTGTCTTGAGCCTCATTGTATATCTATATTTTTGGTAATAAAACACTTACTTGCCACCCCAAAAAAAAAAAAAAAAAAATGGTGGAAATATCCCAAACGTGCAAATTTGGGTCTAGGCTTGTGTTTTTCTCTCTTGAGAGGGAGTGTTGCCCTTTGGGCGTGTCTTGAGCCTCATTGTATATCTATATTTTTGGTAATAAAACACACACTTGCCCCACACAAAATAAATAAATAAATAAACAAAAAAATGGTGGAAATATCCCAAACTTGCAAATTTTGGAACTTTGAGCTAGATTGGTCAGGCCCTCCCAGCAGCTTATATTCTTTACACCTCTTGCCTTTTTTTAGGCACTGTGGGCTTATTAACCAATAAGCAAGCTTTTTAAGATTTTAAGTGAGGCATGGATGAAGAGTCTCTGTCCAGATTGATTAATAGTTGTACACATGGATTCATGGAGAGGGGGGCTACATTTTATTTCATGGGCTTTTATGATGGGTCATATGCTAAATTTATTGTAAACCTTTAAACTTCTATTATTGCACGATTGGGAAAGAAAGATGGTCAAATGTTTTTCAAAAATTCAGTTATTATTGGCTTACGACTATAAGGCCAAAAATTTGAGGTGCCTTGTCTTATAAATTTCATCAAGCATTTGTTGCTTACGCAGATTACAGGTTTAATGAGTAGAGAACTATCTGTTAAGTAGGTTTCAATGTTTCTGATGTTCTTTCCAGTAACCATTTGAACAACAAATCTTTTATGCAGGTGGAATCATTGACCAATCAAGAAGAAGTTGAATTACGTTCCAAAATTGAAGCCCTTGGTCTAGAAGTTACAAAAGTTCCAGCAAAATCTACTAAGGATCTTGATGAGGTAGTTTTTTCAAGGCCATTTTTATTTCCAGTTTTTTAAATTTCATTTTCATTTGTCCCTCTGGGCTGTCCATTTGGGATAACACATCTTATCCGCCTCTTTAAATTAGCTAGAGATAGCGAAGGAGTTGGATAAATTATCTGCAAAGCTGGATGACGTGGATGAGATGATTTCGTCAGCCATGGCTGCAGATCCACAAGTGAAGTCTCTTTTGAGTAGTACTGCTGACGTATGGATGCCAGTTATCACCGCTACTTCTGATGAAAGGCGTAATTTTACAGCATCGTCATCTATTGTAGATGATAATCGTGAAGCAAATGGGAAAATTGCTAACTAGTCATTCCAGTCTTAGTTTGATTGATTATAAGGAGTTTGCTTCCTAACAACTTATTATTAACCACACAATCTTTTTCCACAAATTGAAAAAGGAAAATCCTGTTGTCTAATATGGCTCTGTATATGTGGCTGTATTTATTGTTCCTTTTGGCAATGGATAGGAGTATTTTTGATAATCGTCGTGGGTTGTAATCTTGTGGTTTTTTTTTGGGTAAGTATAATCTTGTGGTTCAATCTTACAAGTTCTGATTTTTTGATTCTATGATGGAAGGAATGACCCTAAACTTTTGATAGGGCAGCTATCGCCTTTTTTTGGCTTCAGTGTGTCATGTATTGTTAATCCTACCAAAAATCCTACATTTGCACCCTCATTTTTATTTTTTTTGGCATGAATATATATATATATATATATATTTGGATGGACCATTCGATGTGTAGGGATTGTACTTATTGGGGTAAATTATCAATTTCAATGTAACTCTCAAATTTAATTTTACTATGCAAGCTATCAAATTTCATAATTATGCCAATGTAATCCAACAAGTGAGAAAAAATATCATTTTATATCATGTATTTTTTAATTGAGATAATTTTAGGATTTAAAATACGAAAATGATAATCTATATCAAAATACAGACATAACGATAATTTAACCTACTAAGGTAATAATTTAACCCCATTTTCATAAGAGCATACATGTACTCAAAGCCTTAATAAAATTTGGGTAAATTACACTAACACCTCCTGAGGTTTATGTTTATTACAGTTTTTCCCCTCACCTTTTGAAAATTACATCTCCTTCCTGAGGTTTAAAGTTTCATTATAGATTTCCCCATCAGCCCTTTTAATTTTTTTAAATACCAATTTTACCCTCATTGGGTAAATTACATTGAGACCCCTCACATTTTAAAAATCACAATCCCCTCCCTAAGGTTTAAAGTAGCATTACCAATTGCCCCCTCGGTTAGTATTAGCTGGAAAAAAAAAAAAATCATTGAAAAAAAAAAATGAATTGGAAAAAAATTAATTGAAAAAAAAATTTAATTGAAAAAAAAAATTTGTTAGCAAAATTTTTAAATTTTTGTTTAAAAACCAACGTAAACTCATTTTTTGAATTTATGTTTTTTTCCTCAAATTTACAAACTGAGACAACCATTTATAAACCAAAAAAATTATCAAACAAATTTTTATGATAGTTTTTAAAATTTTTGTAAATAAAAATTGAAAACTAAAAACGAAATGGTTACCAAACAAGTCTCAGATGGTAAAAATTTCATAAAATAAATAAATAATTAAATAAGTTACCAACGTAAGAAATGACTTATCAAAATATTCTTAGGCTATTTCTTAAACGAAATGAAAATTATTTTTTAAACGAAATGAAAATTATTTTCTTATTTTTTATTTCTTAACCAAATTAATTTTTAATTTAAAAAAAAATTCTAAAAATCAAACCATACATAGCCTAAGAATCTTTTGATAAATCATTTCTTACGTTGATAACTTATTTGATTATTTGTTAATTTTACGACATTTTTGCCATCAGAGACCTGTTTGATAACCATTTCATTTTCAGTTTTCAATTTATATTTACAAAAATTTAAAAAACTGTTATAAAAACTTGTTTGATAATTTTTTTGGTTTATAAATGGTTGTCTCAGTTTGTAAATTTGAGGAAAAAACGTAAATTCAAAAAATGAGTTTACGTTGGTTTTTAAACAATTAATTTTTTTTTCCTAACTAATACTAACCGAGGGGGCAATTGGTAATGCTACTTTAAACCTTAGGGAGGGGATTGTAATTTCTAAAAGGTGAGGGGTGTCAATGTAATTTACCAAATGAGGGTAAAATTGGTATTTAAAAAAATTAAAAGGGCTGAGGGGGGAATCTGTAATGAAACTTTAAACCTTAGGGAGGAGATGTAATTTCTAAAAGGTGAGGAAGGGAACTGTAATAAATATAAACCTCAGGGGGTGTCAGTGTAATTTACCCTTAAAATTTTTATTAGAATTACAATGTCCAAAATATTATTGTTTTTAAGAACCAATAATAGTCTCTTATATTTTTAAGGGTAAATTATATTCCTGAGACTTCTGTTTAATATAGATTCTTCTATCAGATTTGAAAAATTACACTTACCATCTTATCAAATTAAAATGACATATTTTCCCCTTAACATTTATATATATAAAATAGTAAAATAATATAAATATTTTATTCATGTCATTTCAAGGGAAGTAATCATCATTTTCTTTGATTTTTTCATTTTTTTTGTGTTTTTATTTTTTATTTTTATTTTTATTTTTATTTTTAATGAATTGTTTTATTTTTTCAAGCAATATTTTAAATTTTTTTAAAAAAAAATACCTAATCGAGATATACTTAAGAAGTACAATATTTTGTGATTTTTTTTTAAAAAAAATTACCAAATATAAAAATTCAATACATTATCTTATTTTGTTGTATTCAAGGATTTTTTTATTTAAATTTTACACAAATTTTATACTTTTTAAATATATCTAGATTAAATTGATCTAATATAGATATAATGGTGGAAATAAAAATGAAAAATTATATTCATATATAAAAATTTGTAAAAAAAAATATCATAAAAATGTTGTGATAGTGATATTGTTGTAAATATAAATCATGTTTATGGGTGTTTTGTTTTAAAGTGAAAGGTCACTAATAAATTATATCATTGTGTTTGAAAATTCTATATAATATTTGTTTGTATATCATCACTCAATAAGAATATGTTTAGTTAAAATTTAATGATGAGAATTTGTAGAATGTAATCATGATGACAGGAAGAAGAAATAATAGAAAAAAGGGCAAGATAGTCATTTAAAAAAGACATTATTAAATGGAACACTCCATTTTATAATTTTTTTTTATAATTTTTTGGACCCCCTATTTTATAATTCTTTGGACCTCCCATTTTATAATTCTTTTTGTATTACAATTATACCCTAAAGTAAAATTACATTAAAAGACATTATTAAATGGAACACCCATCTATCAATAAGAACTAATACTCTATAATATTGGACACCCACCCCCACCTCCAACTCCAACTATACGTATTCCATATTTGTAAACCCTAAACCTATTACTTTTCATAACCAACTAACATAAACCCTAAATCTATTATTTTTCATAATCATCTTAAATCCTGAATGTGTCATCTTTACCACTATCATCAACGCTATTGAACTTGAAAGTTTTGCTTCAAGTATAACGTATACTTCATCACTTATTTCACTGTGTAGAGCAATGGAGGACGATGACAACATTCTCGGTCGTTTTCGGTCGTTCTTGTTTCATTCGAGCTGTTCGGTACTGGTTTGCTGACTGTTAGAATTATGTTCGGTAATACAGTACTGAACATAATCCTTTCGTTCAATACATAGGTTTCGAACATTAATGCAGATAGTCAGTTATGTAAATTTTTTTTTTAAAACTAATTTAGAATGGAAAAGAGTGAATTGGAATGGATTTAAGTAATGTATTTTGAATGGATTTAATTTATGTTATTTTAAATTGTGAATTGGAATGGATTCAAGTTACACAGTGATGAACAAATTTTGTTCGGACATACAGTGCCGACATGATCATTATTGTTCGACAAAACAATTATGAACAAAATACATTTTTTCGGCTATACAGTGGTTAACAAATTGGGTAGGTGTGCATTTCATTGTGAAAATATGGAGATTAGTTTTATATTCTGAAAATATTATGGAGATTAGTTTTCCATATATATACATTGTTTTCTATTCCTACAATTCGCATCAATCTTCACTTTCTCATCTGAATTTCCCAATCAATGGCAATTTCCAAAGAGACCCACGTCGTCGAAATCCTAATCGACGAAGAACACCAACTCCATTGTGTTTTCAGGAACCACTTTTTAGATGTGGTTAATGTTGGAGAGAGAATTGAGAGAAAAAGCTAGGGTTTTGAAGGGATTTTGAGAGAGAGAGAAAAGAGAGAAAACTCTTCACTTTCTCATCTGAACAAAAGGAGTTTTGAGAGAGAGAGAAAAAAAATAGAGAGAACAGACATCACTAATGAGGAGAGAGAGAGAGAGAGAGAGAAGAGAGAGGGAGACAGAGAGTGGGTGTGGTTGGGGGTGTGAATTGCGTGCATTTACTTGTGGATTTAGGCTAAGGTTAATGTTGGAATGGATTCAGGTAAGTGTGCTCTTCATTATGAAAATATTATGAATATGCGTAGATTTGGTAATAAGTGGGGTGTCCAAAAAAATATTATTAAAATTTAGGGTTTAGGGTCCAAAGAAATGGGGGTTCCAAAGAATTTTGATAGATGCTAATAGCAGCACTCTTAAAAAAATTTAGAGCATGACATCAGCAATTCAAGGGACAATTTGTAATGAGATTACAAATCTCATGGAGGGAAATATAATTTTTTAAATGTGAAGGAAAGTCTGTATTAAATAAAAATCTTAGGGATGTCAATATAATTTATTCTATTTTTAATAAAATTATTAATATATATATTTAATTTAAATTAATTACACAAATAAAGAGACTGAGTCACACTTTCGTCAAGAATCTTAGGAAAAAGCATCTTTTCTCTAACAAAAAAAAAGACAAAAAAAAAAAAAAAAAAGGAATCTCATGAGAGGATCTATTTATCTCAACTATATCTGCACCATGTCGACAAAACTATGAAAGTTGAGAGCTTAATATAATTCATAAAAGGGATGGCTTCTCTTCGCGGATTTGTTGTGAAACTTGTATTGATATTTTGAACTGTTTAATATATAAAAATTGTCAAATATTTTATTTTTATAAAAAATCACTTTGATTGAATATTAATAATTATTTGATCAGATTACATATGTATCAATAATTTATTTTTAAAATTATGTTTATTATTGACACAAATGTGATCTGATTAAGTGACTATCAATATCCGATCAATATAATTTTTTTATAAAGATAAAATATTTGATGGACCCTAATATTGAAATGGTTCAAATTATGAATATAAATTCCGTAATAGGTCCACAGAAACCCAACAATAATCTCTAATTAATTTTTTCAATTAGAGAGAGCTTCTCCCATAAATAAAATAAGATAGTTCGATGATCAACTTGGAACCATGTTTGAGGGAATAATTGATAGTTTACTTTACTTTTTATTGTGGCCGACAACTTTTCTACCTCAAACGAACTTTATCTACTTCTGCGTCTTCAAAGCAAATTCCAACAAAG